ACTACTGCCAAGCTAGCACTGCTCTAGACCGTGGTCCTGTCATGTGGAGGTCTCTTAACCCTCTCATGTGCTCGTCGGTCCAGCAGGATACCGGGCAGCCGCAGCAGGCAATCCTGCTCGGTGGAGGTGGTAAGCAGGTCTCAAGTGCTCGACGGCCTAACACGGGTACGGGGCAGCGTGGCGTGGATCGGTCTGTTTCTGAGCGGCCTGACAGCATCGGACAAAGGCCATTGGCCAGCCGTAGCTAGGCTAGGTGGTCTCTTGGTGCCACTGGCTAATAGCATTCATCATCTTGACTCAGGCAAAGTCCTATTCTTCGCCCGGCCTGTCCAGCATCAGCTGTGGCCAAGTTGCTGCTTAAGCCGTGGCTACTTTCTAAACTAGCTTGCTCTCGATTCTTTAGGCCGGTTTCACTGTAGTGAGTGCCAAGGCGGCTACATGCCCGCTATGCGCTGAGCCCGCTCGCGCAGCGTCCAATTGAAAATTGTTGTTGTTGTTGTTGCTGCAAAAATGCACACGTGTGATGACGTTGGTGGCGATGTCGCCGATGGAGACGAAGAGAAGGCTACTCATGCGCACGATGCTGATGCTGAGGTTGATGATGATGCTGAGGTGTTGATGATGGTGGTGATGATTGTGTTGATGTTGATGATGACGTTGAGCATGACAGTGATCATGGCGATCTTGACCGTCATTGTCGTGAGGGACGTGAGCCTGCTCCAATCTTGTACAAGGGACTGCGAAGCGACAAGCTCCCAAACATTTGACGTCAAACCCTGACACTCTACTGAAGCGATACTCGCAACCGCACTAGCCAAGCTATTGGGGTCACGGAAAATCTTCGCGAAGAATGGACGCAGATACTTTTTGGAGAACTTCGGTGACCACTTCGTTGTGCCTGACCTCGGCCCGTGTGGGCCTTGGAGGATGAGAGAGTCGGGTTCGGGACGTTAGGGGGTTGGCTGAGACTGATAAGCTCATGTTGTGCCACAGCTTCCCTCCAAGCTTGTAGGCGCATCTTTTTAGCAAGCCAAGGCTTGCCGAGCCTTCCGAAGTGGATTTTTGAAGAGGGAACATCAGGCAAAAGGCAGATGCTAACTGCGTCTCGAATTTCTGACTTGGGGTCGTTGACCGTCCTGTTGAATCTATTTAGGGGGGGCAGCTAAGGCCGCAGCCCAAGCTCACGCTGCTAGCGGATGTCAATTTTCTTGCAGACTGTTCCCTGTGCACCCGGCCGAGTCCTGTTTGTGAAGCTCGGTGGGTTGGTCTCGGATTCAAAGCAATCGTTCTGAAATCCGGACTCGGCACAGCAATCGCCGCACCACGATTAGCAATGAGTCTTACCATGCTTGCCAGCAGTCTCAGGTGTCATCACCATTGTACTATCTTCGTGATCAACGCCACCACCACTCGTAGCAACCCCAACCTACACCACAACCACCACAACCACCACAACCATCACAGCCGCCACAGCCGCCACAACCGCCGCAACCGCCAAAACGCCATGCCACAACCACAACGACGACCATTGCAGCACCACAACTGCCACCGCCACTGCGCCGCTGCCACCACCACCGCCACCATCATCACCAACATTCAAGCAATGTTCATTCATTACCATCCACGCCCAAGAGACCAACTATCACCGCCATCATTACAGTAACCCCATCCCCATCGGCACCACCATCGGTTTTGCCTTTGCCATTCTCTTTATCCACATCTTCATGTTTTAGCATCAGAGAGAACGAGAAGTAGTCGTAGCAGAGAGGAAATGCCGACAGAGAGCACAGGGCAACACCCGCGATCTGGGATCAGGATTGGCATCTCCGGTGGTCTAGCCCATCCACGCCACTTCCTAGCACCTCAGGAGCCGAGCGTTTTGCTGGCGGTTGCCGGTTGCCACAGGTGTTGCCTTTTGGTCCCACAACAGACCCGGCCAACCGCACTAGGTCGGACAACAGCCATGCTGGTCATGCTTACAGGCTTACAGCTGTTTACTGTGTCGCGGCCTTCACAGTGTAACAGTTAGAGCCCCGGCCCTGGAAACTTAACGTTGATTGAAAGATATTCGTGCCATTGTTGCACCTCCGTTCGCAGCAAGCCCAAACCGGATTCCTCAAACTTAAGCCTCGTAGTTCCTGTCGACAGGCCCAATACGAAGAGCAGGATGGCGAATATGAGCCCTGGCTGAACGCTTGAAGGACCACATTTCCACAGCGTCATTAAATGTCATCAACACAATTTGTAACATACTGATGGGGCAAGCCACTTTGCCCCTGCTGCTGCGGCAGCTGCTGCGACTAGATACTGTGACCGCGCGATGCCTCCGCTGCCACCATCACTTGCACCACCATCATGCTGCTGATGGACACAATGATGTCCTTGATGCAAGTCGAGCCGAGCAAACGCTTCTGCTTGTGCAAAATGCCCGGTATTTGCAACCTACTGGAAGTTCTGCTTGCGCCGACTCCAACCTCGCAAGAGTCAACACTGCTTTGCAAAGATGATGCACACGAGAAGCTCGAGACCACTTTACGACAGTACCAGTGACAATAATCAAGCAGCAGCGACAACAACAAGGCTGCGACAGCGAATTTTCAACTGCTAGCTGCTAGGTGAGCAGTGAGCTTTTCTACGAGCATGCAAGCATCACTGGTGCCCAATGCATGACTCGGCATAAGGTACTGGGACGGCTGACAGTAAGTGCTACTAGTGCGTGACTGACGGCGCGTACTTTTTGGTTACTGCTGGTTTTTAAATTCTGATCGGTATGATGAGAAGGGTTTGGACGACTTTGAGGAGGTTGTGCTGGTGCTGCTGCTGGCCGTGGGTGTGGTGGTAGTGATGGTGTGGGCGGCAAATGTGTTCTGGACATTGACTTCATTGGTACAAGAAGTCCTGTTGTGCCCATGACCGCTATTTCTCTGCCTGATGTTGCTGCCACCGTCGCGACGGGCCTTGCCAGACTAGCAGCTGGTGTTGCTATTACTCCGCTGCTATCCGCATTGTTCCAAAGATAGGCTCGTCGTGGGCTTGCGAGTTGGCCACCTAACTGATGACTGGAGGGACTGGCTGTCAACCAGCAAAGGAGAAGCACAACCAACAAAAAAGTTGCACAACTGCGTCACTACGTCCCTGGCTACCAAGCTCTGTGGTCTTTCCTGGTGCGCAGTAGGTGAAGCATGACAGTCAAAGATGTCATAGATGCAGGGGAATGATTCAGACCAGGCATCCCATTTGAGCTGACTTGGACTGCCTAGGAGTTGGTCTCCAAGTTCATGGGTTCGCTGTACCGTTCTCCGGTCAGGCCTTTTTGTATCTGCACCGACACCGGGTTGCTTGGGAGCAGCAGGTGCAGGCATTGTTTAGATTGCGCAGCATGACATTCATGTTTCTTCTGAAGTCTCCTGCCCTGTAGACACTCGCCACTTGACGTCGTTGCGTGGTATGGGAACTTGGTCCCCTGCAGCCTGGCTGATATTGCAGCCTTGTCAGAGTACGTCAGAGCATGCGTGTTGTGGCTAAGTAGCTTGGTTGCGTGCCCAGGCAAGTATGACATGCGGCTGTTTATGGCGGTCAACACGGCAGAGCTCTGAGACCTCCGATAAATGAGGAACCTCTTCGTAGGGGCCGAGGGGCTGCTGGGCTTCGACTGCAGATGTGAGACAGCGAGCAGCTCTGCATGCTGGTACATGGAAACAGTCTGCTTCCAACAGGTCACCTACGACCATCCCGACCCATCCATCGGCACGGCACGGCTTTTGGGTTGGGCGTTGCTTGCGGTTTGCCTTCAGCTCTCGTAATGAGAGGGCGTTGGTCAATCAGTCAGTTCTGCAGTCGGTCAGTGCTTCAGTTGGTCCCTAGCCCTTCAGCTTGTCGGCTCTCGGTCCATCGGTTGACGGCTCGTGTACTCTGTGAAAGTATGTACCAGTGTCGGTGTTGCTAGCAAACTGCTCTGCGCCCTCTCCTCGCCTATGTGTTTTCCTTCTCTGGCGCCGGCAAGCCGTCGCTGGCGGGGGTGCGGATGGTCACTGCACCTCAGAAAGAAGTGAAGAGGGGCGAGACCATGAGCTGATAGGCAGGAGAACGTGCTTGAGAATCAATGTGCTTGAGAATCAACGTGGGTGAGACAAATACGGAAAGGAAGGCCAACAAACAGAGCATACATGCTTGAGATATGGCTTCAACTACTGCAAACGCAGACGCAGTACTTTACTTTCACCTCCGATCACTCCCACACGACTGGTATCGCGAGTCCAAGAGGAAGCGGAGCGAAGAAGAAAAGGAGCTCAGGTCCACGCAGATTGAAGAACACCGACAACGAGATGTTACCATGATTCTGCCTCCTACCGCTACCACTGTGGTTGTGCCTGTTCGCGATGCTGTTGAAATCTCGCCTTTGTGAGTTTCACTAGACTGGAATGTATCACTATGTTATGTCTTCTCTTCAGTTGATTCGAGTCGTTAGTCGTTGTTTCAGTGTGCTCCCAACGAAGATGCTCCATCGGTTACGCAAGCCATAGACGCTGCATGTCGATGTGCTTTCGAAGTCCCTTGTGGTCTTCGTTTGTCAAGTATCTTCTTCGTCTTTTTCTGTGGTCCCTCCTTGACGTTGCTTTCCCATCCCTCTGCATCATCTTCTTTCGTTTCTTCTTGATCTTCTCTGCTTGCCGGATCTTGCCGGCTGCTTTGTCAAGGTCCTCTCCTGACCGACGAATCAAGAGGGCTTGGCCGGGAGAATGCTTTATTCGACGGAAGACAGAGATGAACGTGGGGAAAACGGTAGTCGTGATGGTGAGGGTGGTGATGGTTCTGGCGATATCGTTTTTTGGTTGCAGTTTTGATGTAACTTGATTCTTCGATCGAGTAGCTGTGCAAGGAAGATGCAGTGACACGATGTTGATGTTGCTGCTGGTTTCTGTTTCTGCTGCTGTTGTGCTTCTTGTGCCTGGTATACGTACCTGTTGTACCTCTTATATACCTGTTGCTGTTGTTGCTGTGGTTGTTGTTGTTGTTGTTGTTGTGGTCGTTGCTGTTGATGTTGTGTGTGAGTTTGGTGTTGAGCAGTACCGTGACTATGAGGGTGAAACGACTTCTACGAACCGACCGGGGGTTGGCTCGAAATTTTGTCGAAATCCACTGTGGTACCGTCGTCAGACAAATCCCCTCAAATTTGGAAGGGAAGGTGCAGTGCAGCCGGGCTGGTACATATGGATGGGTGGATGGATGGATAGACATAGATACATCGATAGATAGGTAGGTAGGTAGGTAGGTAGGTAGGTAGGTAGATAGATAGATAGATAGATAGATAGAGGCCGTCGAGTGGGGCAGGTTCTTGGACCTTCGAACTAGCATGTTCGACATTTTCTCGCTGTAGAAGCTGTGCAGGTTTTGTCGTCCTACACTTCAACACCGGGCCTGGCGAATGCCCAAACCTCAGTGGGCGTGGAAAGTCCAGGTGAGCAGACAACTAGTCACGAAAGGCACATAGCTCTGGCGGAGTCCGTCATACTGGCTTCTGGTCTCCAAAAAACATCCAGAAACTTTCTCATGTAAAAAGAAGCACTGCGACATCTTTCCAGGTGGACTTCGTGATTTTCCCGCCCCGGTGGCTTCCTGCAGAAGGCACTTTCCGACCTCCTTGGCGCGGGACCCGGCCGTGTGCTTTTTCCCACGAGGGCCTCGGTGTGAAACTGCCCGATCTGCTGTTGGTTTGGACTGGTGCGTTCAGGGGCTCTAAGGTTGTCATTTGCTGAGGGTCAGCTTGGGGCAGCCCTGCTGTTCAAGTCTTCCCTCATCAGTTACTCGTCGTTTGAACAGATAATTACCCTGGTATTGGCGACATGTGCACCTGTAACACAGCATGATGACCTAGCTGACAGAGATTGACACAGTATGCAGGATGTACGCCTGAAGCGTCCGTTGCTAATCCGACACTCGGAAGGTTCTAGAAGTTTGAAAGGTCACTGAACATGAGCTTTCCTCTCGCTTCTGCCAGGTTTCATCGAAACTGCATGAGCGAGTTCATGGGCCTGCTTACAGGCCGCGCTCCTGCTGTTGAGATCTTGAAGGTTTTGTGTTGTCAGGCTTCTCAAGGCTCGCGATGTCTGCCAGAACTGGCTTCCAAACTTTCAGCACACTGAAAGCGATTCCTGAGATCACATCCGGCAACGAAAGGAAACGAAAGGACACAAGGAAGATGCAGAAGACTTAACCCCGAACCCTTAAACCACCCTGAACCTGTAGACCCTAGACGCTTAAACCCCTACATCCCTCAACTAAACCGCTTAACCCCGAAACCCCTTCTAAACCGCTGAACCCCTAAAGCCCTAAACCCTTAAACTTGTAAACCCTTTAAAAAAACCGAAGCCCAGCTCGGTTGTAGGCAGCTACGATGCTAAGCCGGTGCCTCGCGAAGATGGCAGTGGGGCTTTTTGCTTTTTCACGGTCAGCTCGAATAGTGAATTACAGTACACATCATATTATATATCGTCCGTGTCATATTCTAGTCTAGTAGATTAGACGAGATTAGATTAGGTGGTCATATGGTCTTAGATTATACTGTATTGTAGCATGTTATAGTGTACCAATGTTATAGTTGAAATATGTTATGGTGTGCTATGCTATACTTTGGATGTAAAACATTTCTTCCTGTAGGTTGCCAGTCGCAGCATCTATACTCCTCGGTTTCCTCGGTTAAGTCTTGCGATTAAGAGCGTCCGAGATCATTTGCTGAAGATTCCCTGGTTTCCGCAGATCTTCCAGGCGTGGCTCCAATACCTTATTCCGAACCCTCACCTGGCACTACTCGAGCCGCTACAACCATCAACGGTCGTGATTGTTTTCACATCGAAGATTGACATGGTATCTCTGTTGTTGCTCTTTAAGCTGTTGCCGTGGACACAACATGAGTGTGCGATCGCTCTGAGTCGCTCCCTGTCCCTCGCTGATATAATTGCTGATTGGCTGCACTGCCTGCGCTGTCCATTCTCGAGGTTGCCTAGTATACACCATAAACAAATACATGCAGATATCTAGATACATAGACAGAAACCTATGATCCCCGTACCTCCCCGCCCTCCCTCTCCCTCTTCTCCGAAATGGTTGATGGACTCTAGGAACATCCCCTGTCCCTGCGTTTGATGTGCTTCGCGGTTTGGGTGTGCGGGTGTTTGTCACGATGCATATATCTATATCTATGAATATATATATATATATATATACATATATATATATGCTAGCCCCCNNATGAAATCTTATAGACTTTCAAAAGTCCAGAATTCACGATACTGTTTTTGAGTTCCAGAAATCTTAGACCTGCCTAAAATTTCCAAAAATTCCAAACAATTCCAAAAATTCCAAAAATTCCACCAATTCCAAAAATTCCAAAAATTCCAAAAATTCCAAAAATTCCAAAAATTCCAAAAATTCTAAAAAATCCTAAAATTCCAAAAAATCCAGACCTAGGTTTTGGATTGCCGAATTCCGAAATTCCAAAACTTCTTTTGGTTTTTTTTTTTTGGAATTTTTGGAATTT